GCACCGTGCAGTGCCCAGCACCGTGCTCAGCCCCATGCAGTGCCCAGTGCCATGCAGTGCCCAGCACCGTGCAGTGCCCAGCACCGTGCTGCAGTGATGCTCTGCCCCGTGCAGACCTGGTGCTGAGCCATGATGATGCTCATCCCCATGCTGTGCCCAGCAGCATGTTCAGCCCCATGCAGTCCTGATGCTGAGCCATGGTGATGCTCAGCATTATGCAGTGCCCAGCACCATGCAGTGCTCAACCCATACGGTTGCCCAGTACCATGCAGCTCAGCCCCATGCAGTGCCCAGCACCATGCAGCTCAGCACCGTGCAGTGCTCAGCACCATGCAGCTCAGCACCATGCTCAGCCCCACGCAGTGCCCAGTACCATGCAGCTCAGCACCATGCAGTGCTCAGCACCATGCTCAGCTGCACCACGGTGCTGCTCAGTCCCATGCAGTCTTGGTGTTGTGCCACAATGATGCTCAAACCCAGGACCATTCTGCAACGCTGCTCATCCCCATGCGGCCGTGGTGCTGTGTCCCAGCGACGCGCAGCCCCAGCACGATGCAGGGGTGATGCTGCATCCCATGCAGCCCTGCAGCACGCCGTGGTGGTGCTCGGCCCCATGCAGCCCCGGCGATGCTCAGCACCGGCGCCCCACTCACGTTCTTGAACTCGCGGAAAGGGACGAACTGCACGATGTCGCGGAGCACCGGTTCGCCCTTGGGCGAGCGGAGGACGCCGTCGTCGCCGTCGAGGATCTGCATGTCGGTGAAGTCGGCGTTGCCCACGCCCACGATGATGATGGACATGGGCAGGTAGGAGGCGCGGACGATGGCCTCGCGCGTGTCCGCCATGTCCGTCACCACGCCGTCCGTGAGGATGAGCAGGATGAAGTATTGCTGGGGAGGAAGGAGGGCTGCGTGGGGCCCCACACACACAGGAGCCCCAGGCAGGGATGGAGAAGGGCTCAGGGAGGCGCTGGAGCCACAGTGGGTGCAACGAGCACGTCGGGTCTCAGCGCGGCACCCTACGTACGGAGGCCTCCCTGGTTCGCTCCTCGTTGGCCGCCACGCGAGCCACCTTGGAGATGATGGGGGCCACGTTGGTGGGGCCGTAGAGCTGGATCTTGGGCAGGCAGCTCTGGTAGGACTCCACAACGCCCTGGATGCCTGCGGAGCGGGGCCGGCTGAGCCCCGGCTGGTGGCTCCAGCTCCGGCCCCAACTGGACTCACCCTCACACTCGTCGTTGTCGGGGTTGAAGTTGATGGCGAAGTCATGGGACACCTGCATGAGGAGGGGGTCGAGCGCTGCCGTGGTGGCTCCCAGCATCCCTACATCACCAGCTGGCACCGCCGGGCAAGGTTGCCCGGGTGCAGTAGGAAAAAGGGTGCCCAGGGGATGCAGCAAAGACAGGAGGGTGCAGAAGGGACAAAGGTGCCCTGGAGGTGCAGCAGGGACAGGGATGCAGCACGGAGAGGGATGTCCCGAGGAGCAGCAGGGACAGGGATCACACGGATGCAGCATGGCTGGGGATGCCTAGCGGTGCAGCATAGACAGGGATACCCGGAGGGGCAGCGTGGCCGGGATGCAGCCCGGTCGGGGTGATGCCGCA